GATGTACATGAGTAAGTGCTCACCAGTGTAACGGTTACACAATCTACTCCAGGTATGCTACGGTAGTGGTCCAAGACCATAGAGTATTGCTAGACACAGTGTTGCCTAGTGAATAGTGTATCACACTAGCACTCAGGAGCCCTGCATTCTAATCTCAGCTCTGCTATTAGCCTGCTGGGTGACCGTGGGAAAGTCATTGGACCACTTGGTGCCTCAGTTTCCCCAATCTGTAAAATGGGGATAATTATAAAACTGTGGGGCTGGAAGGGACCTCAAGAGGTCATTGCAACACTGGCATACCAGGTGCCAGCTCATGCTAAGGCCCCCACATCTCAGCTGAATGCTGGCAAATACATAGCCATAGCTAGAATCAGTCTGTTTCAAGTGTTAAAATAAATAGTAGAATGGTAAGAATGTGTTTAGACTTTATTGAATGCTTGTGAGTTGCTGCTTGCATCAATCTCACATATAACCTCTGTATCCTATATTGTAAGGTAATATCTAGTGGTTCTCAACCTGCGGCCCAATCAGCACACAGTAACAGCCCATGTGACATCATCAGGGCCATACAGGTAGCATTGGATGGGCCCACATAACACGTTGTGGGCCACATATGCAGCCCACAATGGTAAATAGGTTGAGAACCACTGAAAGCAGTTGTTCTATGAGCCCCTGTGAAAATGACTGTGTAAAGTATGAGACAGGAGAGACATTAATTAGCACGAAGGGCTGATCTTCAGCAGAAGGTGTTACGTCCTTCCCAGAAGGCAAGGGCCATCGATACCAGATGGATCACCGTAGAACACTGCAACTGGAATTTCCCTACATGCAGTCAACAAGAGGACAAAAGACTTCTTTGTCCTGCTGTCCTCCCTGTAAAGATGAGTCATGAACGTGGATTCCTCCCATCAACTGAGTTTGCAACTCAGCGTACATGGCAGTAGGGGGATCAAAACCACAGACCAAAGGAATTTAGTCTTTCTATGCGGCTTGGACTCTGGGGGGCACAGTGTTTCTAGGCATAAGTGAGAGATCCCCAGTTGCTTGGCCTGGGTTAGCCCTAAAAGACATAAAGAGCTTGCTGATTATAAAAGCTCTTATTGCCTTTTGCAATTTAAGATTGTAACTCATTTGTGTATCTGTGTTTACTTGCTTTAACCTCTGGTTCCCTTTTCCTATTTAATTAATCTTTAGTTCGTTTATTATAGGATTGGCGACAGGCGTTGTCTTTGGTGTGAAATCTAAGGCGCCAGTGACCTGGGGTAAGTGACTGATCCTTTGGGACTGAGAGTAACCTGAATATTGCTGTGATCCTTGGTGTAAGGGACCATCTGTCACAAAGGTATGCTCACCTGCTTGGTGAGACAGATCAGAATACCCAGTGGGACTGTCCGTGACTCCATGCTAAGGCTGCTGTAGTGCCAGAGGAGTTTACCCTTGGTCATTGGCTGTGAAATCTAAGGGTAGGTCTACACTTACCTGGTAGTTCGGCGGCAAGCAAATCGAACTTCTGGGTTCGACTTATCGCGTCTGGTCTGGACGCGATAAGTCGAACCTGGAAGTGCTTGCCATCGACTGCGGTACTCCAGCTCGACGAGAGGAGTACCGCGGAGTCGACGGGGGAGCCTGCCTGCCGCGTCTGGACGGAGGTAAGTTCGAACTAAGGTACTTCGAACTTCAGCTACGTTATTCACGTAGCTGAAGTTGCGTACCTTAGTTCGAATTGGGGGGTTAGTGTAGACCTGCCCTAAGTGTAGAACTCACAGCCAATTTGGGGTTTGTGCCTTGATTACTAACAGTCTGGCCTGAGGCAGGTACCCACGCTCTTGAGCACTGCAGGCAGCATTAAGTCGAATCCATCCCTCCTCACCGAGGCAGGAGTAAGTAAACCTAGACGATCCCTGACAGATGTTTGTCTAACCTGTTCTTAAAAACCTCCAGGGACAAGGATTCTACACCCTCCTGTAGTAACCTATTCCACTACTTACCTCGCCTTCTATAAGTTATAGTTAGAAAGTTTTTTCTAGTATCTAACCTAAATCCCCCTTGCTGCAGCAAAGCCCATTACTTCTTCTCCTACCCTCGGTGGACACTGGAGCCCAACCGATCACCGTCCTCTTTATAACAGCCCTGAACGTGTTTTAAAATGATCAGTCCTCTCTCAGTCTTCTCCTGGCTAGACATGGCTAGTTTTTTTTAACCTTTCAGCGGAGGTCAGGTTTTCTCCGGCTTTTGTTGCTCTCCTCTAGATTCTCTCCAATTTGTCTACATCTTTCTACAAGTGCGGCACCCAAAACTGGACGTAGTACTCCATATGAGGCCTCACCAGTGCGGAGTTGAGTGGGACAGCTCCCTCCCAGGTCTTACATACAACACTCCTGTTAATACACCTCAGAATGATATTAGCCTTTTTTGCAATTGCATCACATTGTTGGCTCATATTTAATTTGTGATCCATTATAACCCCCAGATCCTTTTCAGCAGTACTATGACCTAGCCAGTTATTCACCATTTTGTAGTCGTGCATTTGATTTTACCTTTCTAAGTGAAGTACTTTGCACTTGTCTTTATTGAATTTCTACTTGTTTTGATCTCAGACCAATTCTCTAAGTTATCGAGGTCATTTTGAATTCTAATCTTCAAAGTGCTAGAAATCCCTCCCAGCGTGGTGTCAGCTGCAAATTTTACAAGTGTACTCTTCACTCCATCATCCAAGTTATTAATGAAAATATTCAATAGCACCAGACCTAGGACAGACCCCTGCAGGACCCCACTGGATACATCCCCCAGCAAACCATTGATAGCTACCCTTTGAGTATGGTCTTGCAACCAGTTGTGCACTCGCCTTATAGTATTTTCATCTAGATGGCATTTCCCTAGTTTGCTTATGAGAATATCATATGGGACTGTGTCAAAAGCCTATTGAAGTCAAGATATATCACATCTACTGCATTCCCCCATATCAACTAGGCCAGTAAGCCTCTCAAAGAATGAAATTAGGTTGGTTTGGCATGATTTGTTCTTGACAAATCCATGCTGGTTATTCCTTATAACCCTATGATCCTCTAGGTGCTTACTAATGATTGGTTGGTAATTTGTTCCAGTGCCTTTCTGGGTATTGATAATGATACTGACCTCCTTTGTAAATTGCTTTGAGATCTGCTAATCAAAAGCACTGTAAAGAGCTGGGTATTACTAGGCTCTTTGAGCTGTGGTTAAGTGAAAAATTATTACTGTAGTAATAATCAGCCATTGCTACAGAATACTGCAGTACTGGGCCAGTGCTGTAGGATACTGTTGATACTTTAATCAAGACTGAATGTTAGCAGTGGTCACACCCCCATGACAGACCCCCTGACCGGTTTCTGGGAGATTAATGCCCCATGCACAAGAGATGGCTAATTGGCATGCCTTACAGCACTAAGGATTGGTTAATGACCTCCAGTGACAATCCTGAACCACTTCTCACTCTGAAAACTGCTGTAGTTTCCTATTAAATGATATTGACACCCTGGAGCTACTAAAGCCCAAATCATTCAAGGGAAGGAAAAAAACTAAACCCAAAAGACTTCACTGCCCTGTCATTCCTTTCTTGGTCCCTGTGGAGTCTGATTGGCTTATATACAATATAAAATTTGCCATCAAAGACGTGCAGATGCCTCTGTCTCTGCCCTCTGCCATTCACCAGAAGAGCTTCCTCCAAGCCGACGCTCGGGGAACAGATTCGTGAAGCGGATCTCGCAGGTAGGGGAGAGCACAGCTGGCCTGGTATGATGAGTAATGCAAGTTACGGAGAGACGAGCCTTTATGCTTTTGCAGAAGGGCGGGCACTGCCCCAGAGATCTGTGTTCAGTGAAGGCTTAGAAGGGACGGAAGCAGGGCCGTGAAATAATCCTGATACAATATAGACCAATGGCTCTGCTTAGCAGTAACTGGTCACTCTCCGCGTTGCTGAGCACATGTTCATGCCACAGATCAACAGCAGACTTGGCAATAGCTCTCTTTCTTGTATTAATTTTACAGTAATTCTTACTACTACAATCACTAGGGAAAATAGCCATTTTCCTCTTTACATTTCCCTGTTTTATTTGGACGCGGCTGTCCTGGCACGCTGGAGGCTGAGCCTGTGGAGCGTTGGCCGAGTCCCACCTGATGGCGGTGGGATGGGGATGTGGGCCATCACAGTGCTGGTCTATTGCTCTATGTTTCTTAGTCGGATAACAGAGCCGACTCGGACAGCTGTTGTAGAGAAAGCAAGTCAAGAATGAGACCCAGCACATTTGCAGCCCTGATCCTAACCTCCAGGGGGCACAGACCAGCCTGAATCGCTGTATAAATGTGTATGATGTCCATAGTTACCATTCACAGCAAAGGCACAAGTCAGGACAAGCCCAGCTCCTCTGCCGTTCTTTTGGGATTGTGCACGACAAAAACCCACTATCCCTCATGCCTTGGAGGCGCGGCTGCCGTTGGAAATCAGTTTTCTAATCAAGATAGCAACCTCCAAACAGAGGAGTATCATTGGTTTTTAGAGGGGCCACGGGTTCTGGCCCCAGGTGGATGAAAGGGGTTTTGCTTTGGTGTGTGGCTGTACTTCTAACCTTCCCTTTGATTTCCAAGCACCTGGGAGGTCCAGTGGCCTCCTGCTGCCTCGCCGATCCTTCTGGCGCTGCTGCTGTCTCTTACAATTACTTACCGAGGAGGAGGTGGGATTGCGCTTGCAAAGGAGCAGACTAAACTGCAGGCTTTTCCTGGTTCCTGATGGTTCCTAATGGTTCTAATACCCCAGCTTGCCTGTAGGCTTCTCCATACTGTCTCCGGGCTGAGATCCAGCGGCACCACCTGGAGGCGAGAGCAGCGGTGGGATCTGCTCCATTTTACCTCTTCCCCCTTGCGTCCTCGTGAGTCTTCGGATCTGGCAGTTCAGTGGAGGGATCCCTCTGTCTGCACCTCCGCTCCCCCAGCCCTTCCCCACGGACGCTCCCTCCCGTGCCCCCGCCTCTAGCACAGCGAGAACCTGCGGGAGTTGATGTTCATCTTGGTGACGCCGATGAGCTTGAGGGGCGCAGAGAGGCTGAAGGAGCTGGCGAGCGGCAAGTCGCAGAAGAGGTCGGCGAGCTCGTCCCGCTCCTCCAGCTCGTAGGTGGCGTCGTTGAGCATGCGCCGGTGCAGGTGGCACGTCTGCTCGATCTTCAGCTTGTGGATGTCGCTGCGCAGGCGCATGAGCTGCCGCGCCAGCTGCTGGTCCTGCAGGCGCATTTCTGTCTGAAACACAGAGACGGGGGGAGGAAGGGGGGACGATCAGTCACCGCAGCACTCGGGATTCACTCAGCTTCCCTCTCCCTGGAGCTGAGGGCAGTTTAATTTATCTCCGAGTGAGCAGCGATTAAGAGAAACAGCAATTAGAGAGGGGAAAGAATGTCCAGGGAATTGTTCCCACCACCCTGGGCCAGATCCCCTGCTGGTGTAAACGTTATCTCCATACTGATTTATACCTGCTTCTGGAAATTTCCATTACTTGCATCTGAAGAAGTGAGGTTCTTACCCACGAAAGCTTATGCTCCCAATACTTCTGTTAGTCTTAAAGGTGCCACAGGACCCTCTGTAACTCCATGGAATTATATATACACATCAGCTCAGGGTCTGGTGCATTACATTCATCAGGGGCTTGTCCCATCCCGTTTTAAGTGACTCCTGCGATGGGGGCTTCCTATGGGAGACGCTATTCTGCATTAGAGTAGATCTCACGACCTAGAAGTTGTTTCCTGATATCTAGCCTTGAAAAGTGGCAGATTCAAAAAGCATAAAGGGAAATGCCCTTTCACCCAACACGTGATTAGGCTGTGGAACTCATTGCCACTGGATATCATGGGCCAAAATATCAGCAAGATTCAAAGAGGGATTGGACATTATTCGGATAATAAGAATAGCCAGCATTAGATTAATAAATAACAACAAAATAAAGAGTTTGGGAAGGGAGATAAAAACCTCGTGCTCTGGGGCTTATGCCAGCCTGTAACTATTGCAGACCAGGCTGAGATCTAATGTGGAGAGCAAATTGCTTCACACCTGCCGACTGTGGGGTTCTTACACCTTCCTTTGAAATGGGCGGGTGAGATTTTGTGGCCTGCATTGTGCAGGAGGTCAGACTAGATGACCATAATGGTCCCTTAAGTCTATGAATCTATGAATCTTGTACTGGTCACTGCTGGGGACAGGATACTGGACCAGAGGGAACCAGCATCTGATCCAGTCTGGCCATTCCAAAGTTCCTAAATTTTGCTTTCATCAGTTTCAGTCTGTTTCTCCTACCTGGTACCTCTTAACCACCCCCCCGCCCACCCCACCCCAGGGCTTGCCCTCTTGAAATACTTGTAGATGGTTTTCATTTCCCAACCTGGGCCCTGCTCCCATGCCCACTGGAGTTAGTGGAAAGACTCCCATGGATGTCAATAGGCTTTGGATCAGGCCCTTGGTGGTTTTCTGGCCAAGCCAGAACACATCCAGCCACACTCTGACACCGATCTAATTCATAGATTCATAGATTCATAGATTCTAGGACTGGAAGGGACCTCGAGAGGTCATCGAGTCCAGTCCCCTGCCCGCATGGCAGGACCAAATACTGTCTAGACCATCCCTGATAGACATTTATCTAACCTACTCTTAAATATCTCCAGAGATGGAGATTCCACAACCTCCCTAGGCAATTTATTCCAGTGTTTAACCACCCTGACAGTTAGGAACTTTTTCCTAATGTCCAACCTAGACCTCCCTTGCTGCAGTTTAAGCCCATTGCTTCTTGTTCTATCCTCAGAGGCTAAGGTGAACAAGTTTTCTCCCTCCTCCTTATGACACCCTTTTAGATACCTGAAAACTGCTATCATGTCCCCTCTCAGTCTTCTCTTTTCCAAACTAAACAAACCCAATTCTTTCAGCCTTCCTTCATAGGTCATGTTCTCAAGACCTTTAATCATTCTTGTTGCTCTTCTCTGGACCCTTTCCAATTTCTCCACATCTTTCTTGAAATGCGGTGCCCAGAACTGGACACAATACTCCAGTTGAGGCCTAACCAGAGCAGAGTAGAGCGGAAGAATGACTTCTCGTGTCTTGCTCACAACACACCTGTTAATACATCACAGAATCACGTTTGCTTTTTTTGCAACAGCATCACACTGTTGACTCATATTTAGCTTGTGGTCCACTATAACCCCTAGATCCCTTTCTGCCGTACTCCTTCCTAGACAGTCTCTTCCCATTCTGTATGTGTGAAACTGATTTTTTCTTCCTAAGTGGAGCACTTTGCATTTGTCTTTGTTAAACTTCATCCTGTTTAACTCAGACCATTTCTCCAATTTGTCCAGATCATTTTGAATTATGACCCTGTCCTCCAAAGCAGTTGCAATCCCTCCCAGTTTGGTATCATCCGCAAACTTAATAATCGTACTTTCTATACCAATATCTAAGTCGTTAATGAAGATATTGAACAGAGCCGGTCCCAAAACAGACCCCTGCGGAACCCCACTCGTTATGCCTTTCCAGCAGGATTGGGAACCATTAATAACAACTCTCTGAGTACGGTTATCCAGCCAGTTATGCACCCACCTTATAGTAGCCCCATCTAAATTGTATTTGCCTAGTTTGTCGATAAGAATATCATGCGAGACCGTATCAAATGCCTTACTAAAGTCTAGGTATACCACATCCACAGCTTCTCCCTTATCCACAAGACTCGTTATCCTATCGAAGAAAGCTATCAGATTGGTTTGACATGATTTGTTCTTTACAAATCCATGCTGGCTGTTCCCTATCACCTTACCACCTTCCAAGTGTTTGCAGATGATTTCCTTAATTACTTGCTCCATTATCTTCCCTGGCACAAAAGTTAAACTAACTGGTCTGTAGTTTCCTGGGTTGTTTTTATTTCCCTTTTTATAGATGGGCACTATATTTGCCCTTTTCCAGTCTTCTGGAATCTCTCCCGTCTCCCATGATTTTCCAAAGATAATAGCTAGAGGCTCAGATACCTCTTCTATTAGTTCCTTGAGTATTCTAGGATGCATTTCATCAGGCCCTGGTGACTTGCAGGCATCTAACTTTTCTAAGTGATTTTTAACTTGTTCTTTTTTTATTTTATCTGCTAAACCTACCCCCCTCCCATTAGCATTCACTATGTTAGGCATTCCTTCAGACTTCTCGGTGAAGACCGAAACAAAGAAGTCATTAAGCATCTCTGCCATTTCCAAGTTTCCTGTTACTGTTTCTCCCTCTTCACTGAGCAGTGGGCCTACCTTGTCTTTGGTCTTCCTCTTGCTTTTAATGTATTGTTAAAAATTCTTCTTGTTTCCCTTTATTCCCGTAGCTAGTTTGAGCTCATTTTGTGCCTTTGCCTTTCTAATCTTGCCCCTGCATTCCTGTGTTGTTTGCCTATATTCATCCTTTGTAATCTGTCCTAGTTTCCATTTTTTATATGACTCCTTTTTATTTTTTTTTCATTCAATTCTTTTTTTCATTTTTTTCATTTCAATTCTTTTCATCTTTTCCCAGAAGCCACCCTCTTTACGATTTTTGCCGCCTTTCTCTGGGCTCCCTCCAGTTTGAGCCTGTATCAGTTCCTGGGAGGCTCAGAAACTGACACAGAGCGTCAAGCTAATCCCTGCCCTGTGGTCTGGTGCCACAGAGGGGCTGGAAGCAGGACCGGTGCTACCATTTAGGCAAACTAGGCGGTTGCCTAGGGCGCCAAGATTTGGGGGCGCCAAAAAGCGGTGCCCCCAATTTTTTTTTACAGTGTTCCTAGGGCGTGAAACGTCCTTGCACCGGCCCTGGCTGGAGGGTACCCTGGGGGAATGCCCCTGAGGCAGGGGGCACAAATCTGCCCTTGTGGCTCAATACTTTCTTCCCGCGCACAGGGACAAGGGGCGATAGAGGGTGGCAGGGACAGTGGCCAGGGCAGTCCTATATCCCAGCAGTTCAGTTCTGAAAAGGCCTCTCAGAGCCATTGCAACAGGACTGCAAGTTAGGGGGTTGCCCCAGCTTGTATCAGGGGCCGAACTAGCCCCTGGCAGGCCCTGAGCAGGAGAAGCACAAGCTGCTTCCTCTCTGTCTCTGCATAGGCAAATGTTGCAGGGGAAAGACCTGGTGCCTTGCCCAGGGATGGTCTCAGCGCAGGCCGGGGGTGGAACCGCTGCCTCGCAGGACCAGGGACTGGGAGTGAGGCCTGGTTCTATCCCTGCCATTTTGTGGGACCTTGGGTAAGTCGCTGAGCAACTCTGGGCCTCAGTTTCCCCTCCTGTCAGTTTTCTGCCTCCTTGGGGTGCTGTGAGGCCTCGTACTCGACGGGTGTGCTCAGGGCTGAGGTAAACACAGTTAGGATCAATCAGGGGTGGGTTTCTCTCACTGCAGTGGTGACAGATGGATGGCGGAGCCTGCTAGGCCCTGGCAGAATGTGCCCGAACGCCCTAAGAACATGGTGAAAACCCTGGATCCTCATCTCAGTGGCTGGGGGAGGACTGAGTCACGGTTATGCAATTACACCAGGCCTAGAGGCAGCTTACTTGTAGCATTGTCAACAGTTGTGATGCCATTCCTGTGTCTTCCCCACACAACCTCCACCCCTGAGCAAAACGGAGCCTTACAAAATATTGATGTTGTTGAAATGGTTCCATTTCTGGGGGAAGTTTTCTGACTTTTCTGCAGGCGCTTTTATCGAAAACGTTGCCAAAGAGGCTAGCAAAATGGCCGCCGAAAGTTTCTGTTTATTAAGGATGTCGACAACCGTTTTGATTATGTTTTCACTACTGTTTTCGGTTAACGGTCTCAATAAAAAGTATTTTAAAAAGCCACAGAAATGTTGAAATAACAAAAGAGGGGTCCAGGACATGAAAGCCACTTGAACATTTCCAATTTGGTCAGGAAACGAGCGTTTCCTTTTTTGGGACCCATGCTGGCCTTTCTGAGGAGGCGCTGGTACGCTGTGAGGGCACCATGACGTTTTCACACAAGCCAAAATACCAAGAGGGCAGATGGGGCTCACATCTCTAATCTCAGATTTTCCTCTCCCCTTCCTGCCCCCCCCTTGGTGACAGCTGAGGTTTTAACAAGGCAAGCCACGAATACTAGTCTCAGCTCTGCTGGGCAAGCCACTTTCCTTCTCTTTGCCGATTCCAGCACCTTGCACTTGGAGATCTCCGCATGCAAAGTGCTCTGAGTGTGCTAAGCAGCATTATCAGCCCCACCGGCTGAATCACAAAGAGAGAGACAACGCACCA